TGGATCAAGAAAGCAAACAAAAAACAGCATTTATTACTCACAAAGGATTATTCGAATTTAATTTTATGCCATATGGACTTACAAATGGTCCAGCTACATCTCAGCGCCTAATGGACATCATTCTTGCAGGACTCAAATGGCCGTGCTGTCTAGTTTACATTGACAATATCGTCATATTCTCTATCGTCATATGGAAGAAGTAGAAGGGTAAATTGGCCATTTGCACCCATTTTTGTTGGTGATAGAATGGGATGGTGGTCATCCTGTAGATTTTGAAACTGAGTAAAGTCTTCCTGTCGTACAGCAAAGTAATTTTCGAACTCTAGCCGACCAAGTTGATTCGGATCTTCCGGCGCGTAGTTTGTTGATGCTATAAAATTTATTTTTTGTAGAATCAGTGGACTAGTAATAAGAGAAACGGGTGGGATTGTTTCGGCATACTCACGAAGCGTAATGTTGCCTCTAGTAATAACATCTCGAACAATAGCCGACGCATCTGGCGAACCAATATAAGACAAAGTTAATCCATTAGAAATTATATCATTGATGGCTACATACAAAAACGACTGTTGATGCTTGTCTTCTAATCTTGATAATCGTTGGTTGATATATTCGATAGCTGATGAGTGCTCGTTTACGATTTCTGTAGTAGCGTTGAATAGACTTTCTGTATTTTTCAGTTTTATTGCTTGCATGATTTGTTCTTTTTCGTAGGTCTTTTGTAATTGACCTAATTGAACGGTGTTTGCTGTTGAGAGTGCCAGTGCCACGGTTCCGATGCCGATGATTTCTTCGATAAAACGTCGGTGTCGTGTTATACGAATACCTTTCGGATGCTGTTGTTTTGTATTTCGCGCTAACGATACTTAAGTTTTGTTCTCTGGTTTCAAAGAGAGACGCGCATTCCGGTATTCTTTTGGCGGGTGTTGGTGGAATTAGATGACAGGTGGCTTTTCCCATCGGGAATGATACAGAATTCTTTATAATCTTGTTTGATGGACCAATATATTCAAAAAATGTCCCAGTTGCTGGATCAGAGATCGGTGAAGTAGGTAGTCTGAGTGTTTGGATATTGACGATAGCCAACAATATTACAATTATTTTCATATTTATCTTGAGATGCTGTTGAAAATGGGTCGTGTTCCTTATGTAATTTCCGCGTGTGATTGATATAATGAATGAATCAATACAACGTTAATTCTCGATTACGTCTGTTTTGTTTTTCTTTTCTAATTTCTTTCTCTTCGCTACTGGTGGTCTGTTTTTCCTTTTTTTTGTGTTGATGAATGAAGATCAGTAATGAAGAAGGTGTTTTGAGATAGTTCAGATATACCTATTTCTTTTCTTTTGGTGTGTTGTATGTGAAGATAAAAGCTTTCAACCTTATCCATTCATCAATGTATATATTGCCGTAGGATAATTGACTTCAGTGATAAACATTTAACTTTCGTGATATTGTTCTGCTTTTTTTCTCAGCCTTTTTTTAATTTAATTGATGTGCGAAAGTGATCTCCATCTGTTCTTAATGTGTGCAGATGGCTCCCTAATTATAAGTGATCACTATTGTTGTAGGGAATCTCACACACGTTTTCGTTAATCATTATTAGTCACTGATGTCACCAAATTTTTGCTTAGCGTTTTTTCACTTACAGTCTAGTTTTTTCCTATTGGTCAAAAAACAGACTCTAATGAAAATAATGTTATCGCAGTTTTTCAAACAGCATTTTGAAAGTTGCTATTAACGGTGTAAATGTTTCGTTATAAAAGAAAGATAATGCTTCAAAGAAAAGACCGGACAAATGCGAATAGTTGAGATCAACAAAGAAGGGAGTCCTTTGACATGGCAACGTGCATATGATGATGATTCTCACGAGTGGCTAAAAAATTTGATTGGTGATATACTCAGCCATTTTTATTTACTCTGGAACTTAAAGAAGATGATATGCTTTTTAAAATTCAAACAGCATTTCTCGGATGAATTACAATACCAAAGCTATACACTTGAGGTAGCATAAAGGTTAGCAAACTCTTGGAATCGGACAACACAGAAAATCACAGAGCGGTCATTCAGTGGAAATAGTCTGATAAAACGTGGATTCGTCGGTCAACAGCATCGACTATATTATACCGAATCGTTGGTCTTCTAACTCGACTCGTTCTTCGGAATAGGCGTTCTGGTGGTATTCTTATGTTCTGTGTCGTAATTACTGGAGTTAACGGCAGTGACATGAGTGGTGCGGGTGGTTCTAAATTATCTTTCGCTATTGAAGTGGTTTTTAATTCGTAATACGATTTTAAACGATCCGAGTTAACTGTACCTAAAATAACCCGATCTGATAGACGTTGGGCTTTAAACGAGGAGAGGCGAATTTGTCGAAGAATTTTGCAAGGACCTTGCCATTTCGATGTTAGTATAGGTCCTAGCGGAATAGCTATCCAGACTAATTGGCCTTCTGCATATTTTCTCTGAGTTGTATGTCGATCATAATAATTCTTTTGATTGATTTTTTGTACTTCTTTAGCTAGATAATGAGCATATTTGAGATCTTGACTTAGTCGGTCACGATAACTTAGAGCCACATGTTTTATTTCATCTGGAGGTACAGATGGGCCTTCAGTAGGGTCATCGAGGATCAGATCAAGAGGAAGTTGAGGTTCTCTACCAAGATTCAGGAACGCTGGAGACTGTCCTGTTGATTCATCAACTGGTGTTTTTATGGAAAACGCTAATTTTGCTATTTCTTTATCCCATGAATTTGGTTTGCCTTCTGCATATTGAGTGATCATTTGTTTCACTGTTTTGTTTACTCGTTCTGTCATATTTGTTTGTAGATGACAAGTGGCTTTAAAGTTATTTTTAATTCCCAAATCTTTGCATATCTGTAAACATCTCCGCGACAAACTGGGATCCATTATCAGACAGAATATACTTGAAACATCCGTACCGGCAAATGACTTCATTCACGATAACAGTAGCCATATATGTTGCTGTTGTTGTTCGTAGAGGGAACATTTCCACCCATCGAGTAGAATAATTAACGACGACAAGTAAATATTGTTTTTGTCTTTGAGTAGGAGGAAAAGACCCATCAGGTCGATTCCAGTAGTGTGCCATGGCTCGGTAACTAAATGAAGTTGCATGGGAGTTGATGAAGGATGATTAGAATATTTAAATTGCTGGCATGATGAACAGGCTTGAGTGTAGTTGTACACGTTTTTTCTCATGCCGGGCCAGTATACTCGAGTTAATAGACGGTAAAGTGTTTTATGAAGGCCAGAATAGTCCGATGTAAGATGATCATGGGCCCATTCTAGTATTTGTTGTTGTCTATTTTGTGGAATTACAATCATGTTTTTCTTTCCTGGAACGGATTCGTGTTCGTTCGAGTTTCTTGACCGGATCTTGTATAAGATTCCATTAATGATCACATACTGCGACGCCGTTTTTCGAAATGATTTCGAAGGAGGGTGAATTACTTTTCGTCGTGTTATTTAGTAAGTAGTCTATTATCGGTTTGAGTTTCGAATCCTTTTTCTGTTCTTCTTTTATATCCTCTAAGATATTACAGCTCTCCCAGATATTTACTGCTGTGTCTAATGAATTAATCTCTTTTTCATTTGAATAATTAGAAGAATGCAGCGAATGAATCTCAACTGGATATCTTGATAGAGCATCAGCATTTTGATTTGACGTCCCAGGTCGATGCTGAATTTCCAGGTCAAATGGCCGGCCTGATCAGACGCCCTGTTGGATCTTTCGCAGATTTTAACCATTGAAGAGCTTTATAGTCCGATCGAACGAGCACTTTTCCGCCTTCCAGATAGGGGCGAAAGTGTTTGGTTCCCCATACAATTGCTAATGCTTCCTTTTCGGTGGCAACGTATTTTCTCTCCGCTGGAGTTAACGTACGACTAGCATAAGCAACCACTGACTTTTTTCTGTCCAATTCTTGAGCCAGAACAGCTCCTAAACCATATTCCGATGCATCGAGTTCGAGGATAAATTGTTGATTAAAGTGAAGGATACGCATCACCGGGGCCTAATTAATATCTGTTTGAGGAGATTAAACGCTTCTTCATAGGGTGCATTCCAATTCAGATGGTTATTCTTGCTATTTCTAAGTTGTTCAAGAAGAGGTTCGGTAATTTTCGCATAATTTTTTATAAAACGTCGATAATATTCGGTGAGGCCGAGAAACGATTGAAGAGTTTTAATTTTTTGTGGACGAGGAAATTCTCCGACTGACGAGACAAAGAAAGGATCGGATTTTATCCCTTCGGAAGTAACGAGGTGACCAAGATATTTCAATTCTTGTCGACAAAATTGATATTTCGATGTTTTTATACTTAATCCTGCTTTTCGAATTTTATGACGAACGTTATTGAGATCTATCAGATGTTGATCAAACGTGGGTGAGAATATGACGATATCGTCAATGTAAACTAGACAGCACTGCCATTTGAGTCCAGCAAGAATGATGTCCATTAGGCGCTGAGATGTAGCTGGACCATTTGTAAGTCCATATGGCATAAAATTAAATTCGAATAATCCTTTGTGAGTAATAAATGCTGTTTTTTGTTTGCTTTCTTGATCCATCTCCACTTGCCAATAGCCGGATTTTAAATCGAGTGTAGAAACAAATTTAGCTTGTTGTAGTGAGTCAAGAGTGCTGTCAATTCTTGGAATAGGATATGCGTCTCGAACAGTGATTGTGTTTAAACCTCGGTAATCGACACAAAAACGAAGGGAACCTTCTTTCTTCGAGGTCAATACAATGGGTGAAGCATAGGGATGTAAAAGTTGGGCTATTTCAAAAGTAGTTCTCTTGACATTAGTCAGGGTCATATAAACTAAAATGTTTGTATGTCCACACGGAGAAATGAAAAACTTAAAAGCTCTTGAGAGAAACGGTTTAGATGGCTGTAACTTGGGGACTATAGGTAATCCAGCATGGAGAATCTATTAGTAACATGTCCAGTAGTAAGATGTCCAGAAGGTTTTGGAAAAATATTTGGTTTTCTGCCGATTTTTAGCTATAGTTTGTATCAATGTGATGAGAAAACACAATAGCTATTGTAAGAATAATTAGAATTTACCTCATCAAGCCAGCATCCGAGAGAACAAAAAGTGCTCAGAATTTAATTCTGATCAAAATGAAATACTCCTAAAATACTATGGATTTCTGAGAAACGCGTTGATTAACGAGAACAATGCTATTTTTTTTATTATTTTCTTTTAGCGTTGTTGTTATAGTTTTCGCTGGATTTTTAGCAGAAGCAGCTCTGGTCTATGGCCTTTTTCTATCCTTCATCTAATAGGTACCTAAAACTAAAAGGTGTCCCAAAAGCTTTTGAGAATCATGCGGTGATCGCGTAAACTCCCACGTCGATGGATCAAGTGAGTCGAAGATGAACGTTACTTGTACATACCAGTGATGGTATAACGTTGAGAGACTCATTCTTTTACCATTTGATTCTTCGAGATGTAAGCTACATTTTGACCGTAAAATTATAGCATTTTCTTGAAATCTTGACCCAATTATAGCCATAATAAACGAGTCTATTTGCCGTTTTTACGCTTCCCCCATCCAGCCTCTGAAGCTAGAAAATTTTTTGAAAATTTTATCCTATAGACAACTTTCGAACTCTATCAAACGGCTTTATCAGAAAAACTTTCAAATGTTTCGAAAACATAAAAGGTAAGCGTTATACCACTTCATCGTATTCGATAAATTTGAGATTCCTAGTTTGTTGAATCGACATTATTTGCAGTCGACGAAATTGTAGCCTCCGAATTTATCATAATAATGGAATCGACATTTTTAAACAAAATTTGTCGACGTCGACAGTTTTTGGAAAAAATTGTCGATTCGACAAATTTGAGATTCCTGGTTTGTCGAACCCACAAATTGTATTTCGAAAAATGTTTTCGACAAATTTTGAATCGACATTATTTGCAGTCGATAACATTGATGTTTCCCGTCATTCTCTTCACTTCGGCTTGCCTTCTTTTGTCCGTCTCGTGAATATGAAGTTTTCTTGATTTAACTTTCAATTGATATTAAAAAACCTATTTACACGAATACGAAAATAGAGAAAACAAAAACCAGGTGTGTGGGTGGGGGGGGAGTACCCGAAAAGAAAAGGAAACCTAACAAAACAAAATATCAATTATTAAACAATAGACAAAAATCAAAAAAAAACATGGATGAAAGAATTAACATATAACGTCAAAACGGCGTCTGTTTCTGCAAAGACCACCGTTCTCAAGGGCGAAAGCCCGAGCAGTGGTGAACAGCCAGGTCTTTTGTGCGAAGAGTATTGGTAAATACAGTACTCTTCCCGGCCAGGTGACACCACTGGTCGGTTTTTCGACCCATACGAACAGATACCGGCACTACCACCACCCACTTCTTCCACACATCGAATAATATCCATCTTGATCTTCTTTTCATTGTCGTCATATGAATCACCCATTAATAATTGATAATGATGACTTGTTTTTGTGGCTATTGTTTTTATTTTGTATTTTTGTTTTTTTTTTAATTATACGAATGATATGGCGATGGAGATAGACTTTTTCTTTTATTTTTGAACGAGTTGTTATTGCTGCGTCTAATTTAGGTTAATTTAGTTTATTTTGTTTTATTATGATAACTGACGATCTTGGGTTTATTTTCGGCTAAAGATGCATAACTGAGCTGAAAAACGTACTGAAACATACGTTTTCACATTTGGTCTATCCACTGGCATCCTTAAAAAGGGGTTTTCAACAGTTTTTAAGTTTTGTCCTCCAGAAATCCTTTACTGAGCTGATTTTCAGAAAATTGGTCAGCAATTCAATTCAAGGTGTCAAAATACGTACAATCTTAATATTTGAGACTTTATGTGCTAGCTTTAATCACCAAGACACCCTTTCTCTAATTTTTAACGAATGTGCAGTAGCCGACGCGAACTTTGAGATAGCCTATTTTCCCAAAAGAGTACAGATTAGTTCCGACTCACAATATGATTGTTTGAAGAAAACCAAGCACTTTTTCATACCAAAGAGAATATTCACTTAAACAAATTAAATGTTAATGGTCAAGGTCTGGAAGAAGTTTATTCAACTAAGATGGCTTTCTCTTCGGGTCATGATAGGCAAGTCTTTGAAATCAATTGCTCACTGCCACAGGTAAATGGAGACGACAAGCTCATTTTAGCAGAGTTTATAATCAAGATTTATCAAGACAGATTCTGATACAATACCTGGAAACTCGGCAGCACTGCTTTCGATTCAGATTCTTGAAAAATTTTGATAAATCTGCACAAATTCTTGAAAGAACTAGCGAGGAGCTTGGTAAATCCTAAAGATTTATCAAGATCTACATTCAAGATTTTTCTCCTAGGCTGCGAGTCGTTCTGATCCATATGTCTAATTCATTTTTTCGGTAAGTGGCAACATCTGTACGTTTAGAACAAAACAATATTAAATGCTCATATTTTAACTGTGAAATAATCACAGCAAAGGTCTCACAGCAAAAGGTGCGTCGGAGAAAAACGTAAGATAGGGTAAGAGCACTCAGCTTTTTGGACAATCGTTTTAAGAGAAGATTCCAATTGCTAGCAACCTTTATTAATAGCATCTGGATCTGTCAACAGTCCCTGTTACCGTTCTAGGTGTTAATAGCAGGCATCCTATACAGTGAAACGTAACTACAATCTAACTAAATACATCTATGTGTACTGTACGCCTATACATAATGTATGCATGATACATCAAAATATTTACATTTGTTTTTTAAATGCTTGATAGGTTATATTACGACGTATTCTAAAGTATTGAGAAATTTCAAACATTGTGTAACTTAGAGAGATGACAAATTAAAATTATTCTTTCTGTGCGTACATTTAGTTTCTACAGGTAAGTGTTACTTGCGAAATTACATGGATGAGTTTGAATGAATAATTCTTTGATATTCTAATATATATGAACGTATGAAACAAGCTGAAATTAAATTTGATAAATAATTTTATATTTTATAATGATAGATTTGAAAGGTGAACTTTTAGAAAATATTCAACAAATTTCTATTGTGACAAATAAAGACCAAACCAAGTCGAACTATCATCCAAAATATGATGAAGACTACTATTCCAGGCTTATATGGAATTCAACAGATTATAATGATGTGAAAAAAATTCAAGTGCAGTTAATTTTAGTTGAAAATGATGATCAACGTGATCTTTTTGATTATATTCGACATTATGTTTCTTCTATGCCCCAGTGTCAAATTCCAGGCAGAGTATTATCTGTTTTAGTGTATGATAAAGAGTCAAACCGTTACATTGGACTTATACAACTCACAACGGATTTACTTAAAAGTGAATTTAAAGATAAGTATATTAATTTGGACATATCAAAGAGAGGCCAATTGAAGAAACATATTCGCGATCATTCTGCTAATTTATCTGTTTGTGTTCCTGTACAACCATTCGGATTTCAATTTTGTGGTGGAAAATTATTAGCAATGCTTGCCTTCTCTATCGAGCTTCATGAAATGTACCAGAAACGATATTCAAACCCTTTGGTCTTAATTACGACAACATCTATACACGGAAAATCTGTTCAGTACGATCGATTAAAACAACTCAAGTTTATTGGCTATACAAAGGGCTTTGGAACTAGTCATATTTCACCATCCTTTATGGCCAAGGTAGAAGAGTATTTAGAAAAGAATTATCGAGAATTTTTTGTCCGAAAAAGATCTAAATGGCAATCACTGATGTTTTTGGCACAGAAATTAAACATAGATAGTAGTCAATTATTTTATCATGGTGAACAACGAGGAATTTATTGTGGATGGACTGGAACTAATGCAAATGAATTTTTATTAAAAAAGAGAATGACTTTTACAAAGGATAAACTCCAGTCAGTTGAATCAATTTCTTCATTCTGGAAGCAGAGATGGGCAGAACAACGATCAACGCATTTGAATAAAAAAAGAAACTTAATACTGTTAATAGAAGACCCGCCAAAAGATTGACGAACCAAGACACCTCCGTTGAGGAAAAAGTTTTGCTTTTTAAATATGTTTTTTTTCGAATTTCTCTTTTACCTGTGCACTTCTGATATAGCAACAGAAAGAAAGAGAAACAGCTTATTTTAACATGCTCGTTGTTGTTGTGCGCTCCTGATAGGCTTATATTCAGAGCGAAAACAGAAATCATTTATAGATTATCTGGAAAAAAGGTTATAATAGTAAAACGATGGCATGGTCAGACGCTAGATGGAATTTCAAAGAGTTTCTACGTCAAGTTGTGAATGATTTTTGATAATGGGAATTCCAAAAGCTTTCTAAACGTTGAAAATATCTGCGTCACGGTACACACGCAGTAGTTAGTTTTTACGTTTTTTAAGTTCAATACATTTATATTCAATGTTTTTAAACAGATTTTGCGATTGAGTTGAACGCTTTTAGATACTTTGATGGATGTATGGCATAATACGACATGACGGTGTTCGGTCGCCTTCGCATCTTGGTCTAGTTTTGCATTTTGTAATAAAACACTTCAGGAATTATTGTATAGAATTTCAAGGCATATGTAATGCGGACAGCGTTATTTCTTCTGAGTCAAAAGGAATTTAATTTCGACTTGTTTCGTACATTCGTATATATTAAAATATCAATGAATTATTCTTTCAAACTCATCCATGTAATTTCACAATCAAACACTTACCTGTAGAAATTAAATATACGCACAGAAAGAATAATTTTAATTTGGCATTTCTCCAAGTTACACAATATTTGAAGTTTCTCGATACTTTAGACACGTCGTAATATAATCTATTAAATATAACTCTTCAGAAGAAAAAAGCTTCGTATGAAACTTACGGTTTTTTTAGAGAATAGGCAATATTCTAGAATGATGAAATAGTCATGTAAGGGAAATCGTTAAAATAAGTCCACATGTAGACGTAGATATAGATCAATTCCATTAGACATCTACACTGTAAAGTCGGGAATTATTTATAGAAAATGCTCGGCGATTTTCAAAAAGTCCATATATGAAATCCTCACGGATTTTCTAGATTATAGAAAATCGAATTTCCAATAATG